AACTACTTTTAATATGAAATAAATGTATTTTAAATATTCTACTTTTAGGGCACTTATGTAATTTCATGTACGTAAGACATCTTTTTTTTTTTTTACATATTTACATTATTACTGTACAGGCAAAAGAGGATAAGGTACTTTAGATAATCAGATTGCATCTTCTGTTACTCAGTAACGCCTTATTTTCCACCTGTATCAGTAAATAAATGAACTTTAATGTCCCATAGACCCTCTGACCCTTAAATGAGACATGTGTACAACATTTCTATTATTTCAATAGTGATGAGAGATTTTGCATTAGACTTTGTTTTGTGTCCTCAGTGTGATGGGCAGTGTTCAGAGTGAGGTCTGGAAGCCGCCGAATTAGGAGTTTTACCTGCAGGTAATTTCAGTAACTTTATTTATAGGTCTCTGATTACAGTGATGGAAATAAGGACAATTTCTTTACTGTGAATTATCATCTTACCTCATCCTTGCTTAGTTTTTTTATGCATTTCTGAATCTCTTGTACTGTGTCTGGGGGCAGGGTCTGATTCCCCCTTAAATCCTGAATCTGATGACACTCAGACATACTGGAGAAGATGATAATGAGAGATTAAATATAATACATGGTAAGTAGTTCATTTCTACTCGTATTACCATTGATTCTAGAACAGACTATGTCATTAATTATCTATTGTAGCGTTGTACCATGGTTTGTCGCCTTCTTGTGTCAAGATCAGACTGTTTGTCAGATCATTTTGACTACCGCAGAGCTCCTTCTCAACATGTGTTTGCATTTCACTACAAAGCAGAAAAATACAAATGCCACATGTCAATGTGTCATTACCACAGTGTTAAATAAATCTGAGGATTTTAATTAGAAAAGGACAGAATATTACTCAACAACTGACACATTGATACACTCAATAGTTGTTTTCTCTAAAGCAGAAGCACCCTGCTAATGCTATTTCCAGTATACTGAAATTAAGGATGTAACCACATATTTAAGATTAGTGCAGACCACTAATAATAATTAAATCATTAAAGTGTCAGACGCTAAAAAAAACCTATATTGGTCACCAGCTAATCTGAATATGGTGGTTACAGCCCTGTTTGAAATTATAAAAATCACCTGTTGTCTGACTCGGTAGAGGCACAGTTTTCAGTGAAGTCAACGAGAGACTGATTAGAATGCCTGTGAACTTCACTGAGGGAAACAAAAAAATCTGATTGAGCAAGGGTCAAACCACCATAGAGCACATTCTTGTTTAAACGTTGTGATGACTGCATCTCTCAGGTATGCTAAAACCTTGCTAAGTGTTAGCTTTCATTTTATAAATCAGCCAAAACCAGACCTGTTGAGCAAGACTAGAAAGGTTGGAACTCTCTAAACAGCAAGATAGACTGCTAATTGACGCTAAGAAACAGTGTTGTTTTGTAGTCTTTAAATATATATATATATATGTTGCATCTGGGGCGTGAAGCGGAATGAACTGATTTGAAAAAATTAAAATGTGGCAAACAATAACATACTGATGATAATTCATATATTTATCGTATCTTGCATATCTGACACAATAGTGTGATCTCGTGGTAAATAACAGTGAATCAAAGACTTCAAAATTACTTTTTCTCTTTGCATGCCATGTCATCCTCCTGTTGATCATCTTTCACCCTTTGCCTAATCAGAAAAGATCACAGAACACTTAAATTGAATTGTGTCTCTGAAAGTTGCATTTTATCAACAGAGTGTATTCCACAAGGCCAGTTAAGGGAAAAGTTCTCTCAAACACTTACACTGATCCCATGGACATGTATTCACTGTTGTCCTCTGGAGGTTCATCCTGCTTCCCGTCCATCTCATCTTTTTCCTCAATAACTGAAATCTGCCAGATAGAGGTTTGAGTTTTATTCGTGTATTTTTATCATATGCATATGTGAAAGAAACTGTTTAAATGTGTAAAACGTTGCATGTTACTGGTATTGGAGGTTCGCTGAGCTTGCGAGGGTAGTCATAATGATTGTATTGTGGCAGAGAAGTTATTTCAAATGCTGACCATCTGTCATCGGGCTGATCTTCACCGTTTGGTTCTGAATAGTTCATAGGTAGAGTCATTGCTCTAGATCTCTTGTCCTGTGGAAAAAGGTAAAGCATGTGAGCATTCACAACCTCTCAAAAGTTTTGGTACACTTGACTGAATTTTTGGTTTCTTATGATGCTAAAACCTTCTGATCAAAAATAATACTTTTTTGGTTACTGCATAGTTGCCATTATTTTTTTTATTATTATTCTCAAATGTAGGAAATGGTAGCAAGTATCAGTAGGTGTGCTCAAACATGACTGAGAGTTTATATAAGCATCTATGTAAAGACAGAGAGGGAGAGAGAAGGTTTGTTTACCTGAGTATCGTCTGTGTGTGGCAGTTTATTTTGTGATTTCTGGATCTTCATTGCCTTGTAAAATGCATTGAGCCAACCATCCACATCGGCACTGAAAACACCAGAAAACATTTAACACTTCTTTCATGGAACTATGTTGTGATGGCAATTGGAGATAATGGTTAAAATAATGCTGGCAAACCTGTCTTTTCCAATGAGGAAATATTCTCTAGATTGTTTTAGTGTCACGTCTTCCACCTTCAAGAACAGCACAGAGGAAGGAGAGCCCTTTGATTGTTTCTTGACCCAGTCCCACTTCTGATGTGTCTCAGGGCTAGTGAACAGCAAGCTGATCCTTTAAAACAGGAAGATGTTCTTATTGCAGTATGAAAATACTTTATGTATTTATTTATGTGACAGTCTTTTCCTTACTTAGAAATGTCTATCGCTCCCAAAGGTTTGCCTCTCCTTTCGTTTACATGATATGTCAGCTGGTAGGTGTCCTCACCGATCTTGGAGAGCACAAAGAAACGATTCTTCCATGATTTCTGTAACAGATATGTTTCATAAACCGAGGAACTGTCTTTGCAGACTTCAGAAATTTCAGTTTCAGGTTGAATTGCAATATGAAACCTACAGTGTTTTTAGTTAGGGCTGTTAGAGGGGGGGACTTGACCAGGTATCCAGTGTACAATTCCTCCACTGCTGGTTCACTGTAAAATTTTGCAGTTGTTGCTGCAGAAACATAATTAAAACTGATCAGCATTAAATGCTGCACAATTCCATTTAGTGTTTAAGTTCCTTGATTATCCCATTTTTCCTAAGATGTTTTAGACTTACGAGATTTCTTGTTGTTGGACATCCTGATGTTGTTTGCTTTAGTTCTAAAATAGATGTGAAATGTTTACTTTTTTTTTTACTGTAAGCCACTGATATACTGTATATCTGATAAACAGAAGTAAACAACACCGAAGTATGATTTTGTAAAATAATATTCAGTGCAGTGTCACTGTCAGCAGCACAAGACTAATTACAATGCAATGGAAATTAACCCTCTGCCACATTTCAAATGTATAATATGTTATATAATAGTATTACATTGTTTTTTCTCCAAAAATACATAGTTTAAACTCATTTATTTTCTCAGATTAATAGTATTACCATTATTTCTCTACATGTTACAAGCATCACAAAGCAGAATCATCATATCAGTAGCCATATTCTATATTATTATTGGTTTACCTTGTGTCGCAGTAAAATCTCAGTCTTCTGAAAAGTTCTCACAACGTGTATGTTATGATGGCAGTTTAGGAGGAAACTAAAGGTCCTTTGTCTTTTCCAGATTGTTATGCTGGTAAAAGGAGTTGTTTCTGATTTTATGTGAGCTCATGTTTAAGTTCCTCCCCTTTCACGTTGTCATTCCTTTGGAGAACTTACCAGACAAACGTGTTCATGTCATTGTGTTATTGTGGAAAACATCATACTACAAAAATAATTTTAGCTTCTGAAGCACATACTGTAAGCTGTGACTGAATTATGTACACATATACACTCACAGACTTATACACCATTTCCAATTTCTTGGATTCTAGTTTTTTTATGCAGTTTTTTATGCTTTTGTAGCATATTTATTTTCCATGCACATGTACTCTTGATTCCCCTGTTTTTTTGGTTCTCTTGATGATTCAGCTTATTTGTATGCACTTGTATGAAATGCATGAGACATGTTTTCAAGTAAGAAATGCCAAAGCTTTATCTTGGGATCCAACAGTCTGTGTGGACGACCATATAAGATGTCAAATAAAGCAGTTAACCATATGTTTTAATGTACTGTATGTTTCAGAGACTGTTTGAAAATAGATTCTAGACATTTATGTAAAAGTAATATCTAATTATATTAAACATTTTATAAAATGATTGCAAAAAATGTTTCAAAAGTTTAATAATTCTTGTGCAATAGTGCAAATACATGCTTTTATGCTGAATTATGCTAACGGCATAATTCATGTATGTATTACATAGGCTACATATTATTCAGTAATCATCAATCTAAAGAGTGACTGAAACATTTGAATCAATGCATAATGACTAGGAACAATACATCATTGGGTAAATGCTTTGCAAAACAAAATACACAATTACAGAAAACTTGTATATACACGGTATATAAAGTACCTCATACTGTTAGCATTGTAAAAAAAAAGTGCGTCTTTAAAGAGGTTAAAATACATGAACAGTTTTGAATTGTGCATTTTTCAATGTGAATTTACCTTCATACTTATTATAAAGTAATACTTGACTGTGGTTCTTCACATTAACAGATGTGAACTAATAAACCCACTACCACTCACATAGTTTTATGTACATATACAATCTAAATGTTACTGATTTCTTTCACCCAGTGGCATTTCAAGGTCAGAGAATCTAACATTCACATTGTTTTACACATTTACATGATTAATGTACAATCAAAAGTGGACAAGTTACTTTAGATAAACTGAATGCTCTTCTGTTCTTCATTTACACCTTGTTTCCCAGCTGTATTATTAGACATGAATGAATTAGTTTTAATGTACCACAGACGCATTTCTAATATCTTGATGGTGATGACTTCACAAGAGATTAGTTTCTTGTCCTCATTATGATGGGCAGGGTTCAGAGTGCAGAGGCTGGGATCCTATGAGCCGCCGAATAGTGAGTTTTACCTGCAGGTAATTTCAGTAGCGTTATTTATAGCTCTCTGAATATAGTGAGAAAAAAACATTATTTTACTGTGAATCGTCATCTTACCTCATCCTTGCTTAGTCTTCTTACGTATGTCTGTATCTCTTCTACTGTGTCTATAAGCAGGTCATTGAAGGCCAGGATCTGGTCCCCCTTATGGAAGAGCCACGAGTCCTGAATCTTCCGACAGTCAGAGACACTGGAGAGGAAAAGGATGAATGCACAATGAGAAACATATTGTAAGTTTTTCATTTGTACTCATGTTAATGTTTTCTCTATCAGGATAGGGCTCATTTTAAAATGTAACTGTAATTAATTATCAGTGAGAGTTGTACCATGGTTTGCCCTCTGCTTGAGTCAAGATCAGACTGTTTTTCAGATCATTTTTTCTAACGCAGATCTCCTCAACATGTGTGCACGTTTCACTGCAGAATAGAAATATGCATTGATAAAATTCAAACAGATGCCACAATTTTCATGCTAAATATATCTCTAATATATATATATAGCTCATAATACACTAATAAGAAAGTTAAGAGGCGACATCATTCAGGTGCATTCAGCAGAAAAATGTTCTAGCTTTTTCAAAAGATGCATTCAAGTCAAAATTTACCATTTGCATTCATCATCCTCATCCTGGTAGATTGCACCATTGCACACAGAGGACTCATGACCATTCATGGAAGTGCTGAAAAAGACAACCAACAAATAATCAAAAATAATGAACTTTGTGAACCCATTACAATGTGTTAAACGGCACAAACACTGAGTTTATCGTATCTCACACTACTGACACAATAGAGAATTAAGAATTCAAAATTACTTTTTCTGCATGCATGTAGTGTACCCCTCCTGTTGGTCAACTTCCAAAGCTCTTTGCCTAATCAGAAAAGACCACAGAAAAAGTTGTTTTTTTATTAACAGAGTACATTTTACATTCCACTAGGCCAGTTAAGGGGAAAAGTGCTCTCAAACACTTACAATGATGCCATGGACATGTATTCACTGTCCTCTGCAGATTCATCCTGAATCTCGTCCTCATCATCTTCATCCTCAATAACTGGAATCTGCCAGATAGAGGTTTGAGGTTTTTGTTTTTTTCAATAGGAAGTTTAAGAGCATTTAAGTGCGTATTGATGAATCTGTGTGCTTAAATGTGTAAAACCTTGAGCGCTACTGGTAGTAGAGGTTCGCTGAGCTTGCGAGGATAGTCATAATGGCTGTACAGTGACGGGTAAGTTAGCATTAATGCAGGTGCTGACCGTCTTTCATCAGGCTCATCCTCAACCTTTGGTTCTGAACTCTTTACAGGTTCAGATGCTGATCTAAATCTGTTGTCCTGTGGGAAAAGTAAAGCATGTAAGCATGTCTAAATGCTTGTAATAAGTTGCAGATAAATATAAAAGAACATGTACATTTCAAAACAAAACAATTAATACATTTTTTGGACACTGCATAATTGCCATATTTCCTTTTGTTTTTATTTTTCAGGAAATGAAAAATTCAGTAGGTGTGTCCAAACCTTTGACAGGTAGTTTATAAATGCATACAAGTGAAGAGAGATATATTTTAATGTTTACCTGAAGGGTGTTTCTTGATTTCTGGGTCTTCATTACCTTGACTAAAGCATTGAGCCAACCATCCACATCATCACTGAAAACATCAGAAAACATTTAACACTACTGGAAAAACTCAGTTATTTTAAAATGAAAAATAAAAGTTTAAAATAAAAGATTTCTAGAATTATATTTCCAGCACATATAACTAGTTTAAAAAGCAGAATGATTAAGTTACTGCTTAAAGACTCCACAAAAAGTTAATTTTTATTTTTATTGTTCCTACGCTGTCTTTTTCTTTTATTATGCTTTGGCAATATACTAAATTAATGATGCTGATAAAGCTTTGTTGATTCTCAAGGCTCAATTTTTAATGTGTATATTTACTATATGCTAACATATATATGGTTTCAGAACTAATAGACATGGACTAAAAGTCAAGAAACTTTCATTTTGATTTCATGGAGCCTTTAAATATTATTTATTTAATAATTTATTTTGCCTGTCATGCTGGCTTTTGTGGAACTGTGTAGTGATGGCAATGAGAAATATGGTCAAAATAATGGTGGCAAACCTGTTTTTTCCAATGAGGAAATAGTCTCTTGAGTGTTTTGGTGTGTTGTCTTCCACCTTCAAGAACAGCACAGAGGATGGAGAACATTTGAAGTTTTTCTGGATCCAGTCCCACTTCTGATGTGCCTCGGGGCCAATAAACAGCAGGCTGATCCTTTAAAACAGAAAGACGTTCTCATTATAGTGTGAACATACTTCATTTATTTATTTATTACTTTGGCAGTCTTTTCCATACTTAGAAAGGTCTATCTCTCCCAAAGGCTTGTCTCTCCTTTCGTTATTTGCATAATATGTCAGCTGGTAGGATTCTTCCCCCGTCTTGGAGAGCACAAAGAAACGATGCTTCCATGATTTCTGTGACAGCTATAACAGATAAAGCTGCTAAGTTTCACGAACAGAGGAACTGTCTTTGACAGACTGCAGATATTTAGATTTTAGGTTGAATTGCAATATGATGCATACAGTGTTTTTAGTCAGGGCTTGTTGAGCAGGGGACTTGATCAGGTAACCAGTGTACAGTTCCTCCACCATCGCTGTTTCATTGTAAAATATTGAAGTTGCTGCTGCTGAAACATAATTGAAAAACATTAAGCACATTGATGCCACACAGTTTAATTTGAGTTTTACAGTTGTCTTGATTATCTCATTTTCCAAAGAGATTTTTTGACTTACTTGGTTTCTTTTTGTTGTTGGACATCCTGCTGTTGTTGCTTTAATTCTAAAAAAAAATGTGAAATGTTTAAGTTGTTTTACTCTAAGCCACTGATAAATCTGATAAACGGATGTAAACAACAGTGATTTATGATTTTGTAAAAAAGAAAAAAAAACGCAGTGTCAAAACAAGAACAATTAAAATGCAATGGAAATTAACCCTCCATAATATAATAATATGTTGTATAATAAAATTGCATGATGTCTTTATGAAAGTTTTAAATTCACTTGAATAGTATCAGCAATATTTTTTTGCATATTACAAGCATCACAAGCAAAATCATATTAGTAGCCATATTCTGTAATAGTATTGCCGTACCTTGTGTCACCGTAAAAAGTTATTCAGCTCTCACAACGTGTATGTTATGATGGCAGTTTAGCAGGAAGCTAGAGGCCTTTTGTCTCTTTCCGAGCATTATGCTGGTAAAAGGAGGAGTTTATGGTTATATGGAAGCTCAGGTTTAGGCTCCCTCCCCTTTGACTGTGTCTGTTATTTGTTTCTGGAAACTACCAGACAAACGTCTTCATGTTGTCGTGGTATTGTGGTAATCTCGATACTACAAATAGAAATTTAGCTTCTCAAGCACATTAAGTAAGCTGCGACTGAAATATGTACACATATACACTCATAGTCTTATACACAAGCTGGCACTTTACCATTTATTTGGTTATAGTTGTTTATGCAGTTAGAAGCTCTTGGTTCCCCTTAGGAATGTAAGAGGTGACTTAAGTTACTGTGCCAAAAAATAATTACTTCGTTGGGAATTTTAGGGGGAAATCTTGACTGACGGATTTCAGTAAATACTCAAGTGATACTGTAACTGTCTTTCCTTCCTTCCTTTTCCTGGCTTTTTTCCAAGTGTAACATATTCTTGGCAGGTTGAGTTGGGGTTGGGAGTTATTAGGTGGTTTTATCATTGACTGCATTTGGTTTTGTGTGTCCAAGGGTAAAGTAAATGTGTGGTAGTCTACACAGAATGTAACAAATAATTGTCATAGAAAAAGAATGTCACAACATGTTTAACTATTTGAATGGACACTAACTAATTATCTAATATGCATCATAAGCCTATATGCAGTAATTTTAGTTAATGCTTTGAATAAAAGTAATACAAAATCTAGAATTTATAGTGATAAACAATATTATAGATTTTTAGTGTGATAAACTGATTAGTGTAGATAAAGGGTGTGCGAGTATAAATGGGAATGCGTTTCACTGTTGCACTTTGTTTGTTCCACACCTAAAAATCCATGCAAACTTCTCACCTGATTTTTTTTCATCTTGCATTTTGTACAGAATGCACACATTCAGATAATTATTTAAACAGATACATTGTACAATGAAACTGAATTTGAGGACAATTTGGAACTCCAAAATTTGGAATAAGCCAAGACTAAACCTTTATAATAAATAGCTGCATACCGTATAAAATGCACAATCAAAAGTAATATACTGAATTTGAATTAGAGTAATACATTCAGAATAAAAAATAGTTATGTTAAATTTGGTAACACTTTATTTTAGTAGTCCACTTTAGACATTCTACTAACAGTAAGTAACTTTGCAACTACATGTCAACTAGCAGTCATTAGAGTATTAGTAGTCTGTCTGCTTAATATCTTCTAACACTTTATTTTGAAATCATTGTCTTGTGGTCATCTACGGTGACGCATTGCTGCCACACACATTATTTTTTCCACTCAATTATGTTGTAAAAACGAGATCTTTTCTCATTTTAACGACATCTTTTCTCGTTAAAACTACATATTTTCTCGTAATAACGAGATGTTTTCTTGTTAAAACGACATATTTTTTCTCCTTAAAACGACATACTTTCTCGTTAAAACTACATATTTTCTCGTAATAACGACATGTTTTCTCGGTAAAACGGCATCTTTTCTGGTAATAACGAGATGTTTTCTTGTTAAAACGACATATTTTTTCTCCTTAAAACGACATATTTTCTCGTTAAAACTACTTATTTTTCTCCTTAAAACTACATATTTTCTCCTTAAAACGACATATTTTTTTCTCATAATAACAACATATTATGTCATAAAACTGACATGTTTTCCCGTTATTATAGATAGGCTATATGGTACATTATGTGAGCGAGCTAAACGACTGTGTTTACATTTGACTGAAAAAAAATATGTGTGTGGCAGCAATGCGTCACCGTAGTCATCTGCTTTAATCAGTATATTTATTTTTTCCAAATGATATGAATTTAGCTATCAGTAAATTAATGCAACTTTCGCAGTTCATCTCATTATCACTTTCAACTGAGGTGTCCAATGCAGTGTTATTGTCAAAAACATTATTCAATTGGCTTTGCTTTAGTGCAAGTCAGTGAAATGAAATGTATAATTACTTAGCATATTAAAAAAGCTTCAAATTTGCATTTATTTGTAAATTAATTTAACATATTACCCAATCAATTAATAATAAGAAAAATGAAGCCTGACAATTCAACTGTGTCGTCATCTTCATGATTTATTTCTGTTGTCAGTTCTGTCTCTCATGAGCAAAAAGAGAGTGAAAACATTAGTATTTTTGTGTGTATAAATGAGTGTTTCCTCTTGTGTAGGACAAACATAGATTGGCTCATGGGTCACAGAAGATGGCAGCTCATGTGTAACATGTTTTGTATGACCTAACTCACTTTTGGCCCAATATGATGATATTATTTTGATATTGCTCAGCTATAAATTAAATCTGTTGATAATGAATAAGTGGCCTGAACTGGTCACAGTATCTCTGAGAGCAAAGGGTAAATAAATCCCTTTACAACAACAAGCAATGTTTCTAACATTAGCAAACCTGATTTTTTTTTCTTCCTAAGACAGATGGCCATGTGCCAACATACCTGCTCATTGTCTATTTATGACTGTGGGAGTTTCACCAATGTGTCTCTTTGACCCAAATGTCTGTGTGACAGATGTTTAATTAAGGTCAGGGATGGGCAACTGGCAGCCCGCGGGGTCGCTAGTTTCCAGCCGCTCCCCTATTAATTTCAGCGTAGGATGTGCACTTTAACGTAAACATTCATTAACATTAGCAAATAATAAATGAAAAACTGACCATGAAAACCAAGTCAAGTCAAGATGGTAAACAGATTATCTTTTTACCAAGTTCAAGGGGATACCCATATGTTTGGATTGTTTGGAAATCTGTATTTTATTTAAATCGCCATCACACCACTGCTCACAAACAACAGGGATGCCAGAGTTGCACTTGCCTCAAATTTCAAAGGTAAAATTCATAGTCAACAAAAGCTTTTTGCCAAGTGCATGACAGAAATGTTTGCACTGGACTGTTCTTATTAGGGTTTCCGGGGGTCCTTAAAACGTCTTCAGTTAAATTGTTTACATTTAAGGCCATGCAAACTCTTAAATGGTACAAAAAGTCTAAATTATAAGAGGTCTTTGGGGACAGAAAGACAAGAATTGCTATATGGATTAATATGACGATTAAACTTCAAAAGGCTAGGATTTCACTGAATAAACTTGAGCACTGCTCGTCAGCTTTATACTTAATAAAATGACATTAGTCAAACAAATGACATTAGTTATACTTGAATTTCCTTCAATAAAAAGGAAATTGAGTAAGACGGTGTAAAAGGTGTGTGGACGTGGATTAGTAATCTGGCCCCTTGGTATAAAGGAGACAAAATGCTGGCCCTCGTCACTATCAAAGTTGCCCATCCCTGATTAAGGATGATTTAGCTTGAAATGAATTCATACCATGCATACATGTGTACAAAATGCATGAGACAAATCAGATCAGAAATTCAAATCAGAAATGTCAAAGCGTTGTACCTTGGGTTTCAACAGTATGTGTTGACGAAGATGCAGTGAACCATTTGTCCATCTCCCAACTGCACAAGACTATAGTCAAATCTAGACTATTCGACTATTTTTAAAACATATGATAACAAATTGAAATTACAAATTTTAGTACATTTCTGTAAAAGTAATATCTAATTATATTTAAAATGTATGCACATTTGTAAAATATTCATAAAATAATTGCAAAAAAATGTTTCAAAAGTTTAATACTACTTCACATTGGAACAATGTGCAAATACATGCTTTTCTACAGTATAATACATGTATACATTATGTATGCTACACGTTATTCAGTAATCATCAATCTAAAGAGTGACTGAAACATTTGAATCAATGCATAATGACTAGGAACAATACATCATTGGGTAAATGCTTTGCAAAACAAAATACACAATAACAGAAAACTTGTATATACACGGTATATAAAGTACCTCATACTGTTAGCATTGTAAAAAAACTGCATCTTTAAAGGTTAAAATACATGAACAGTTTTGAACTGTGCATTTTTCAATGTGAATTTACCTTCATACTTATTATAAAGTAATAATTGACTCTTGTGTTTCACATTAACAGATGTGAACTAATATTCCCACTACCACTCATAGTTTCATGTACATATATACAGTCTAAATCTTACTTATTTATTTTTATTCAGTGACATTTTAAGGTCAATGAATTTAACATTCACACTCTTTTACATATTTACATGATTAATATACAGTAAAAAGAGGACAAGTTACTTTAGATAAACTGACTGCTCTTCTGTTCTTCATTTACACCTTGTTTCCCACCTGTATGATTAGACTTGAATGAATGAGGATTAATGTACCACAGACACATTTCTAATATCTTGATGGTGATGAATTCACAAGAGATTAGTTTCTTGTCCTCATTATGATGGGCAGGGTTCAGAGTGCAGAGGCTGGGATCCTATGAGCCGCCGAATAGTGAGTTTTACCTGCAGGTAATTTCAGTAGCATTATTTATAACTCTCTGAATATAGTGAGAAAAAAACATTATTTTACTGTGAATCGTCATCTTACCTCATCCTTGCTTAGTCTTCTTACGTATGTCTGTATCTCTTCAACTGTGTCTATAAGCAGGTCATTGAAGGCCAGGATCTGGTCCCCCTTATGGAAGAGCCACGAGTCCTGAATCTTCCGACAGTCAGAGACACTGGAGAGAACGAGGATGAACACGCAACAATGAGAAACATAACATAATATAATGTAAGTTGTTAATTTGTACTCATGTTAATGTTTTCTCTATCAGGATAGGGTACAGGATATTTTAAACGGTAATAACTGTAATTAATTATCAGTGAGAGTTGTACCATGGTTTGCCCTCTGCCTGAGTCAAGATCAGACTGTTTTTCAGATCATTTTTTCTAACGCAGATGTCCTTCTCAACATGTGTGTGCGATTCACTGCAGAATAGAAATATGCATTGATAAATTTCAAACAGATGCCACATTTTTAATGCTAAATATTGCTATTTTATGCATAATACAAAAAAAAGAGATGACGTCATTCAGGTGCATTCAGCAGAAAAGTGCACTTCTAGCTTTTTCAAAAGATGCATTCAAGTCAAAATTTACCGTTTATTTTCATTGTCCTCTTCCTGGTTGGCTGCACCATTGCACACAGAGGACTCTTGACCATTAATGGAAGTGCTGAAAAAGACAACCAAAAAATAAGATGAACTATATATCCACAGAGGAACAGTGAATTGTTCAGAGATGATTTGCATCTGCCAAGATGTTAAAACCATGCCAAAACTTTGCTTTAATCCGTGACCAGAACTGCTAAGCAAGAATGGAAGTTTCAAAACAACAAAACACACTATTCAGCAACTCTAAGATAAGAGTTGTTTTGTAGTCTTTAAATAAACAAAGAATCAAATCTATCTGCATCTGAGGCACGGAGGGAACTTACAATGTGTCAAAAGGCAACAGACGCAGAGTTTATCGTATCTCACACTACTGACACAATAGTGCATGAGGTACGTAACAGTGAATCAAGAATTCAGAATTACTTTTTCTGCATGCATGTAGTGTACGCCTCCTCTTGGTCTTCTTCCAAAGCTCTTTGCCTAATAAGAAAAGACCACAGAAAAATTAATTCATTAAAATTGTATTTTATTAACAGAAAGTATTTTACATTCCACTAGGCCAGTTAAGGGGAAAAGTGCTCTCAAACACTTACAATGATGCCATAGACATGTATTCACTGTCCTCTGCAGATTCATCCTGAATCTCGTCCTCATCATCTTCATCCTCAATAACTGGAATCTGCCAGATAGAGGTTTGAGGGTTTTTTTAAGCATATTTTTAGGAAGTGTAAGAGTATTTATGTCCACACTGTATATTAAAGAAACCGTGTATAAATGTGTAAAACCTTGAGCGCTACTGGTAGTAGAGGTTCGCTGAGCTTGCGAGGATAGTCATAATGGCTGTACAGTGACGGGTAAGTTAGCATTAATGCAGGTGCTGACCGTCTTTCATCAGGCTCATCCTCAACCTTTGGTTCTGAACTCTTTACAGGTTCAGATGCTGATCTAAATCTGTTGTCCTGTGGGAAAAGTAAAGCATGTAAGCATGTCTAAATGGCAATGCTTGTAATACATTGTAGATAAATATATAATAATAATTGTCAACATGCAACATTTCTACACAAAACAAAAAATATATAAAATAATAATAATATTAAAACTTTTGAGCAATTTTTATCACTGCATAATTGCAATATTTTATTTTGTTATTCATTATTCAGGAAATGGTAATATTAAAATCAGTAGGTGTGTCCGAACCTTTGACAGGTATTTTATAAATGCATACAAGTGAAGAGAGAGATATTTTAATGTTTACCTGAAGGGCATATCGTGATTTCTGGGCCTTCATTACCTTGACTAAGGCACTGAGCCATCCATCCACATCATCACTGAAAACACCAGAAAACATTTAACACTACTGGAAAACTGCATCACTTGTTTAGGGTTAGGTTTAGGTCAAATGAAAATTAAAACTAGAAGATTTCTAGAATTACATTTCCATGATATATAACTAACTTTAAAAGCAGAATGATTAAGCTACTGCTTAAAGTCTCAAAAAGTGAAAATTTATGAAAATGAAATCAATATTTTAATTTAATCGAATTGAAATATTTACAGCTCAGCGAATATTTTAAATTAATTTCTAAATAAATGTGATGAGATAAACACCAAAAGTTAATTTGATCTCATGTATCTCTTTATTTACTTCACATTTATTTTCTGTATTGTCTATTTTGATATTTGAATATTATATGCTTTGGACATATACTAAATGCTTAGTCATGCTGATAAAGCTCAGTTTAAATTTGTATATTTACTACTATATGCTACTCTTGTAATATACTGTATACATTGCTTCAGAACTAATAGACATGGACTAAAAGCCACAAAACTTTTATTTTGATTTCATAGAGACTTTAAATATTATTATTTATTTATTTTTTTTGCCTGCATCATGCTTGCTTTAATGGAGCTATATTGTAATGGAAATGAGAAATATGGTCAAAATAATGGTGGCAAACCTGTTTTTTCCAATGAGGAAATAGAAAGTAACCTGTGTATAGTAACCTGTTCTTCTCTTCCAAAGAAACATACCTGGGACTTGAACTGATTTTCCGGGGGAGATTTGTAAAGGTATCCAGAACACATTTGTTCCTCGGCTCCATGCATGTAAAATGCATCGTTATTATATGCAGAGATAAAACATTTATTTAAAACAAAGCCACATATCAGTTGTCGTGAGTCAAAGTCAAATTTTATTTATAAAGCACTTTTTAAAAAAACAGCAAGTGTTTATCAAAGTGCTGTACACACATAAAAGAATAAAAATGTCAAAGATACAAAGAGTAATGGGATGCTATCAGTGTGAGCCTGAGAACAGAATAAGCTGTGGTTACTTCAGCATATTCAGCATAATGATTTTAAGTGCCAAATGGTATAGTACAATTATACTGGGTGCACATAGTATGATATATTTTTGCAAATGAATGTACATTTGTTTAAAATATTAGCAATCTTAAAAAATATACTTGTCTGTTAGCTGAACAATAGATAGTGTTGTGAACAGCACGAGCAAGAAAAAAACAGTTCCTCACATTGACAACCGACCTAAATGTAGCTCTGTTTGAAATATTTACTTAAATGGTATGTTAATAAATATATACTAAATGGTGACTTCAGATGTAATTTGCTATCATTGATGCTGTCATACATAATGTAAATCAGGCTGCACAATTTCCTTCATTTTACCTTTCTGATGCAGCAATCAAAATTATACCAAAAAAAGCATTCTGTTTTAATTAAAAAAGTATGATTGTAATATTATTATTTGACTGAAAAATATAGTTTCTGCACCTGATATAGATGTTCCCTGTCTGTAAGAACACAAAATGTGGTTAAAATGTATGAGGAAGTATAGGTGAAAACCCTTAGAAGTGATGTGACAAGGAAGGCGGTGATTTGAGACGTATGTACTCAACCAAGAAAAGCTTTCCAAGAAGTACTTAAGTTTAAACCCACTTTTTGTACTCACTAATGAGAGACTATATTATCTCTGTGATATAACATACACTATTGCCACAGACTTACAGCTTGACATTGAAGGTGAAGTCATTTCTGCCACTGAACTAAACTCACACCATCTTTTATAGGTTATAAAAACAGAAAGCCCCGCCCTGAACTCACACCATTGGTTGAGCCCAAGTTGATGTGTGGAGCTAGTTGGGAATCTCAAACAAACAGCAATGTTTTGATAGAGCTGTCTACCTTATTTTTCCTGTAAGAGTTGGCGCAGCCATTTTGGAATTTTATGGCTCTGTGCTCCTGTGTCATCCATTTCCAGCTATTTTTAGCTGTACAGAACAGCTTGTTTTGCTGCTTTATATTGCAAATTGTTGTGTCTTACCATATTATTTTAATGTATTATCTTAATTATGAACACACTGGTTTGTAGTGCAAACAGTATTACCTTTTACTGCACGTTGTTATTCTTCTCGTTATTAATAAATGAACCGGAAGTCTTGCACAGTCACAGAAAATGGCTTCTGCATTGAAAAATAAGGTGGATAGAGTTTCACTTTTTGGGGAAATAAACATGTTAATAAATATTGAACTGAAATAAAGTTTTATTGAAGATATTACACACTTTCCAAATGACTCCATAAAGTACAAGTCCTTTAACACTATTACACTGGATTGGAGAAAATTACATATTTTGATTTGATTTACTGCAAAAAAGAAAGAAATACCTCATCGAAAAGCTTATTTTTTTTACATTTCCTCACAATTTACATTCACATGCACACAGAAATCTGCATATTGCGAGAAAAGCTGCTTAGTACTGTTTACATGTTTTTGCATTTGAAAATGCGAGACGTACAGCAAATGGAAAAAAAGCAATGAGACATTAAAATATGCATGTTTAAAATGTTCAAAACACACCATAGAGGCGTCTGCATTTGCACTTTTCGTGGATTATTTGTGGAGTGTTCTCCACTTTCCGCAAGTTTTCCTATACGATTGCGAACCGTTCGAAAACCTGTTCACACATGTAAAAAAAAAAAAATTGTAAAGTCATTGTAAGGTTTCAGCTTAATGACAGCATGACATGCATGTTATAATCAAGATGTCAGTCTATAATCAGTTTCACACACCTATGAACAGAAGTGTCAGTTACATTTGCATTATTTATGCAAGCATGAAAACCAAATCTGCTACATTCCCCAAGTCGGCTTCAAAGAAACTAGGCGGTAACCTTCCACCTGCTTTGTGTAAAAACCCCTGTCCTAATTTCCAGCCATGTTTAAAATGCACTGTATCAATCAATGAGACATCACCGACTTGCGTCAGTTCCTATGCACGCCTGTTCATCAAATGGCTTGAGGCTGAATAATTGTTGTTCAGTGGCACTGTGACAGGAAGCTGCCCATGATGTGTCGGAATGGTAGGGCTGTAGAAAGACAGGCAGCAGCTGCAGGTGGTTTGGCACAGGCCTCAATCCAAGCATTCCCACTCGCACGCCATTCATAGAATTTGTATCAGTCATTACAAGGGCTAACAGGGTCATGGCTAAAGCCTATAATTGGTGCTACCTGCTCCATAAGTGTTTCTGAACTATTTGGAATTTGTCCCAGTTGCGGCACATGCAGACAGGTCTGTAGATGAAAACCCTGTCAAGTTTTTCCTCAACTGTTACACTGGTCACCTTGATTTAAACATCCAAATATTAGGTGTTGCGACACAAAGCTTTTAAAAGTCTTCCATGTGAGAGTGTGATATAAATAGAGACTTTCTTTGGCTACAAGTGCTGCTTCCTCTCTCTTTTTGAGCACAATGTACTCCGACAACAGCAGGCCGTGTACAGCTCCTTCAGTCCTTCAGCCAGATTTACGGACCCTAGTTGTACAACTCGAATACTTCCCAGGGCACAGGAACAACAGATGGACCGTCACCCCTCCTCCATCCTTGGCATCTTAACCGTACAGTATAAAGCTCAAAGTTTGGGGCTTAGGCTAATCATTTGCTAGTGGAGAATAAGACTGGAAGAACAAGAGAAGAAAACCAAAGCAATCAAATTAAGCGAAGAACTGGTACTAGAGTTGAGTCAATGATGAAGTCACAAACTCAGGTAGCGATTCAATGAATTTCTGTTTGTTATAATGGACATTTGCGACAGATAAATATATTTTTGACTTGATTTTGACCTTTGAAATATCGCATTCAAGGACACCCCAACAAAACATCAGGAGCACCTGAAGAGACAAAGAGACATTCTGGCTTTCCGAATGAAGAAGCTGTCGTCAAAACAATCTGACTTCAATGTAAGTTGGTGAAAATGGCGTTAATGTCTGAAAGTACAATAAATGCATTGTTTAAAATATGGCAGATGACCCTGATGTATCTGATTAAGTATGCTTTATTATTCCGCAGAGCAAGGCTGCAGCTCAAAAAGAGAAGATTAAGAAAAAATATGATGACATGAAGAAAGTTTTGGATGAGGATCTGAGAATTACACTGAGCCAGTTGGATATTGAGACAGAGGCCACGGAGAGAACTGTTGAGGACAGTATTGAGAAGTGCTACCACCTCACGCGAGAAATCGATCAGCAGCTCACTGAACTGTCTGCACAGATGGAGAAAGATCAACGTCAGGTTCAAGAAAAGGTGCATTTTTAGACCAGAACAGTGTCCTGTAGTAGTTTACAGATGGTAATACAGTATAGCTGAGGTAAACTGTTAAAAAATGACCGTGAATTTAACAGTAAAAGACTGTAAAAATGCTACAGTAAAAACCTGTTAAATGGTTAACGGTAAATTCCCCTACTATATACGGTGAAAAACTGTATTGGACATTACATGTATTGGACATAAATTTTATGGTAGTATACCGTTTTTGGAAGTGAAAAATACTGTATAATCTACAGTGAATAATGGTAAATTGACATTCCCAGAATTCCCTGCGTTACATTTCAAATTTGATGTTTTTTTGTTGAAATAACTATGTTTCTTCTTAGTTTTTTCTTATCAGTTTTGTATATTAGGGTTGTGTGTTACACCTAATGTTAAATTAATGTTTATTGCATAATTTCAGTTTCATGTGTGTTACCATGATGGTGTTTAGTGTTTGTGTGAATGACAATGTGCACCTTCTATATATGTTATTATTTAAAAGCTGACTTTCTCTTCACCACCTGCATTAGGTGGTTGTCAGTGTATTACAAAGGTACAAAACAGATTTCAGTACTTCAATAGGTTGGGATATTAACATTATATCAGTTAATGAAATAACGGTATTTAACTGGAAATTTAAGTTAAAACCGTAAAACCTAAAACGTTGCTACCATATTTTTTACGGTAAAATTCCGGCAACCACAGCTGCCGGTTTTTTACCATACATTTTTTAACAGTGTAGTAATAGAATGCTTGAAGGTTTGAACCATTTTGTCTTCATGAGCACCAAACCCCAAGTTGCTTAATTTTTTTTTAAAGACATTAATACGTTTATTTACTTTTATTTCTATTTCAGAGAAATATTTCTCTGTATTCATCAAAAAATTCTAAAAAAAAAAATGTAAACATGGTTTGCACAAAAATATTAAGCAGCGTGCCCATTTTCAACATTGACAATAATAAGAAATATTAATTGAGCAGCAAATCAGCATATTTTTTCTGAAGGATCATGTGTATTTTTGATCAAATAAATGCAGCCTTGGTGAGCATAGAGAGACCCCAAACTTTTGGATGGCAGTGTGTACTGTATATAATTTTCAGATATAAAACCCATTTATATGGTTTGATAAAATATTAAGTATGATATTGAATAGATACTTAAGTAATTTGCTTTTGTATTGTCATTATATTGAAGCAATGGATGAACTGATCCCCCCCCCCCCACACACAAAACTATGTATATTTTTTCATAATGTTAGAAATCAGAATAACAATATACATTTTATAAAAATGTAAAAAAATAAAAAACAAAAAATAAAATATTCTCTTAAGCATGTTAACTACAGTATATTAGCCTTGAAAATAATTTTGTAAAATAATTTATTTCCATTTTTTTGTATACCTAAGTTTGAAAATCCCTTGCATAGAAAAATTAACGCAGCTGCACAATTTTATGAAATCGTATTTGCAGTGTGGAAATGTTCTACAAATAGCTCACTTTTTCACCCATGATTTCTCCATTTCTTTTACTTGCAGATGTCGGAGATGGAGGAAAGGTAAGTAGTGTTGCAGTTTTGGGAATTTGGTTTCTGTTCCATGATGGAAATGTATGATATGAACAGAAATTTGAAGTATGAAACACTCCAAGGTTTCTGGTACATTTTACCCTGTATTCTTATTTAAGTGGTTAATGTGTTATGACAACGCATGTTTTCATTTGTGAGATGGGAAAAATGGTTTAGTAAAGCATTTAATCAAGCATGCGATCTGAAGTTTCCGCACAACAGTCCTTGCTGCTTGTGTGGCATTAGTATTTTTTTTCACATACTGTATTCTTCCTTGTTTATAGGATAATAGAGACTCTGAAGAAGACAGATCCAGAGTTAATGCAGATGGATGAGTTTAAGAATGAACAGCTGCTGGGCTTAACCATCAACCTGCTGCTGTTCATACGCTCTCAGGTTCCTGTCACCAAGAAACTCTTCCAAAGCTGTGAGGGTCTACACATTTTTTACATGAAAATTACTCTATCGCTTTATTTTTAGTATGTACAGCCTACGCATGTTCCTAAATCCCTGCAATGATTCCTAACACATGCTATTGTTTCCTCATATCTCTCACAAGGAATTTGTTTCTAAATATAGTTTCTAATTTTACGATGCCTTTGGCACTTTCCATTTCTCAGACGCCCAAGAAGTTGTTCTGGATCCTGACTCTGCTCACCCAAAGCTTATTATTTCCCCTGAGGGTGACTCAGTCACTTACACCGATACCTGGCAGGACGTTTCTGAAAACCCCTCTCGATTTGACACCACCCTGAATGTGATTAGCAGGAAGGGCTTCACGGATGTTCGCAACTACTGGGAGGTGCAGGTTACTGGTAAGACATACTGGGAACTAGGGCTCACATACCCCAACATCCCTAGGAAGGGTCGAGAGGAGGACTGCTGGTTAGGCCGGGGCCCGACGTCCTGGTGCATTGAATATTTCAATGGCAACTACACGGTCTGGCACAATGGCATTCCCCATGAGCTCCCCCATGTAAGTGGGAGAACTTTTCAGCGCATTGGCATCTTCTCCAGCTCAGAAGGAGGTTTGGTTTGTTTCTTGGGGGCTGACACCATGACGCCCCTGTACAGTTTTTGTACAGGAACCTTCACAGACTCACTCTACCAGGCTGTCTGTCCTGGTCACGACAACCAGGAGACCAACAGGAAACCACTGCTTATTTGCGATGCTTCGAAATCCGCCCCATTCTTGTAATGGAAACCAATGAGGGTTGGGGTCTAATTCATTTATTCAGTAAGGATGCATTAAATTGATCAAAAGTGACCGTAAAGATATTCATAATATTACACAAGATTTTTCTTATGTAAAAAAAGAATGCTGTTTTTTAACATTCTGTTCACAAGTCCTGAATAAAATGTGTCACGGTTTTCATAAAAAAAACTGTTTTCAACATTGATAATAGTAAGAAATGTTCCTTCAGCATCAAATCAGCATATTATAATGATTTCTGAAGGATTTACTGATAACTGCTGAAAGCTTTGCCATCATAGGGATAAATTACAAGTAAAAAAGTTATAAAATTGTCATTTAAAAAACATTTAAAAATCTTAACGAACCTATACTTCTGAACAGTAGTGTGTAAATACTTTGAAATATTAATGAAAGAAGGCAGATTTCAATAAAGTCTTTTAATACAATAAAATAAGGCTTGCAAAGGCATTCATTTGAATTAAAGTAATTTGAACAAAAATCAGCCCCACTTTATACAATGTAATGTTAACACAATGTAAACAAATTTTTCAGGGCATTTGTGCAAAAAAAAAACTATTTCTATTTAACATTCCTATATTCACAGTAAAGCATTTAAATTTAAAAAACAATGTAATATAAAATTAAAAATAAAAATGTTCCATTTCAAAAGTGGAGCTAGCACTTCCTACAGTATAGTTGGAGCACTTCACTAATAATCCATGCATAAAAAAAGAGGGCCTTTAATTTGTGGCGGTCAGATGGTGCACAGGCTGGCAGATTCAGTGTGTGATCTGGATGAACAATGAGAATGAAAAATACAGAAAGAACCGAAAGAAAAGGAAAAACTGTTGGACGAAACCAAAGACAGCAAGCTCTGAAAGCATCAGAACCTTCCATCAAGTTTGAAACAGCACATTAGGTCAGATGGGTGATAAATGGTTAAAATGGTCACCAGTAAAACAATAGCTGCCTCTGTAGATTACAGACGGATTCAGTACAAAACATCAGTAAATACTACATGAAGCTACAGTGTGCTCAAAATACCCAGGATGAATGCTGATCTGATTTCAGTTTTTCAGTGAACGCAAACTAACCAGCGACCAGCATGAATGAAAAGCTTTTAAAACCATGCAGCTGTCAGCATTACTTCACTATTTGCCACTCCATTTCCATTCATGCCCTTTCTTTGACCTCCTCTGAAGAGCGTTCTGGAAAAACCAAACCAAACCAAACTAAAATGCTACAGATGGCCATGTATATGCTTAGAATTTATGCTTGAGTTGCTAGTACTATAAAAACAGAACAATAGCAAAGGTTTTGTGTGGTATTGGATGTCTTTTTTCAAGTGCTATTTATTTTTTTACAAATATTTTTTATTAGGATCAATAAAAGGTTTTATCTAGTAAAGTAAAAGTGGCAGAGAACTTTCAAAGTTGGCAAAGCAACATGGATATTTGACACTGCCAGTGGACAAAGTGACATCACTATTCCCTGGAATACTCTGAAAAAGAACATTCACTGAAAAAGTAGTGGATCTGAACAGGAAGTAGCACAAAGGAAGACCATTCCTGGAAGACCAGGAAGTCCATATGCCCAGCATAACATAAAAAAATTGCGTTCGCACACAAACTTCCAGCTGGGATCAACCCTGAATGTTGTGACCGCTTGGTCGAGTGAAGTCAGTCGTTCAGTCAGTCAGTGGTCAGTCTTTGTACACCTGATGTGTCTTTCCTGCCTGCCATCCTGAAATGTGCACCGCTCACAATTGTCAATAAATTTTATTATTTTGCTCAAGTATTAGACTGAGGTTTCCCTCCTTATGGCGGATCAATGACAAAAAAGGTTAACAATTTGGTTACTATTTACTGTTAAAAGATAACAAATTAAAAGTGTGCCACTATAAAGTCCTTGGCAAGAAAATGTGCGTGCTGTGAAAAGGCAGACGGAGCACAGCATGTGAAGATGGTCTGCTCAGATCAGTTGAAGTAGAGCTCTTTAGTCAACATGGACACCACACAAGGTATCTGTTTCTTCTCGCTAAAACGGGGGTCCTCTGACCAGGACTCGAAGTTGGTGGCCACCATGTAGTTGACCCGAGTGAGAATCTGCATGATCTCAAGTTGCTTGCCAAACTCATTAAGAACGTTACAGAGGGCCTGGACAAACCAGGAGCCTCGGCCCGGATTCCTCCAGGAGTAGTAACCTGTGAGAACAAATGTGTAAGAATGTTACATTACTGTTAGGGCTGCACGATAAATCGCATGCGATATTTAACGTGCATCTTGTCAGTAAAGCCGGTTCTTTAATCAGCAGTAAATCTCCATCACGTGCAGGCTTTCACATGGAGCAGCATTAACTACACAGAGCTGTTGTTCACTGACAAGCTGCACAAAACCACGATCATATTTTGCGCATGTTTTGCGCAGCTTGTCGGTGAACAACGGCTCTGTGTAGTTAATGCTGCTCCATGTGAAAGCCTGCACGTGATGGAGATTTACCGCTGATTACAGAATGGCTTTACTGACAAGATGCGCGTTAAATATCGCATGCGATTTATCGTGCAGCCCTAATTACTGAACAACTGTGTGTCCCATGATGTCACAATATTTTAACTCAGGGCTGCATATCTAAACAGGTTTTCTGATTCACAACCTCTTGATTTGATTTAAATTGATTCAAATCTGATTCATCTGGGTATTTCAGTTTTAATGTCCATTTTGCTTGCATTTTGCTTTCACCTAGTGAAACTGTTAACTTGGTACTGTGCATTACAACAATATTAATTGAAAAAATTAACAATAGGGCCCAAACTATGCAGTTCAATTGCTAACTGACAGATACAATAATCAATATAACAACACAAAAACTGTTAATCAGATACCAACTGAAAAAAGGTAATTTGGATTTCTTGTAAAACTGTTATTATAGCATTGTATATAATTATTACAAAAAAGTAGCACAAAGGAAGATTGTTGTGTAAGATTTTATTCAGTGAGACATTTTACTGTCGGAAAATCAGTTGTGCTGCTTAAACTTTTGTGGATACTGTGAGGTTTCTTTAATGGAGAGAAGTTTTTAAAAGAACAGCATTTATTTCAAATAGGAATTGTGAGATATAAATTTGAAATTTGCACAAAAAAGTCTGAACTGTGGGATAAAAAAAAAGGGCAATTATCTTTTGATTGTTTTAAGCCTTCTACACACTGCACGATTTTCATCTGTCCCTGACGAAAGATTGGCATCGTGAAACAATCGTGGCGATTTCTGTGATCGTGGTTCCTCAACAGTGGTCCTATGTCGTACAGTGAGAGAGGTTAAAAGACGGCCGTTGTCATGGTCTTGTGACCAAAGATAGCCTGTGATAATTTTCTGACAGTGTCAGAAATTTTGCATGATCATCGCACAGTGTGTTTGATGCTACAACCTATGTTTACTGACCAGCCAATAAAAATGCAACATGAAATGCCATGTTAATCAACGTGACATGGCGCTAAAACTTAAAACTGTTTACCTCAATCTCTTTTAACTTCCTCTTTCACAGATCCTCTTTTTTTCAGCAAACATAAAAAGTACAACTGGCAAACTGTGCTTCGTCATGCTCTTTTTGTTTACTCTTTTAGCCTACGAGTCACTAGGTCTGCATACATGTCATACCCAAGTTTATTAGATCCATGTCGTGCAGTGTGATTTGTAATGATTTTATAGGATTGCTAAAATCGTGCAGTGTGCAGAAGGCTTTATCCCATGCTGGGGGAAAAAAACTGAACTGTGAGATACAGTATAAACTCAGAATTCAGAGGAAAAGACAGAATTGTGAAATGTAATCTCAGAATTCTCCGAATTGTAAGATATAAAGAAAAAAGAAAGGTCTGTGGCGAAAATAAGCTTCCATACTTTACTGTTCTTATTGAATAGAAGTATTCATTTCTGTAAAAAAACAAAAGCTTACTGACCCTAAACTTTTGAACAGTAATGTATAAGTAATATATACATTGAGTTTGTGATTCTTTTTAAATGAATCATAAAAGTCATCTCTTCATGAATGAGACTAGACTGGTCAAGCTATATGTTTTTGACTCACTTAAAAAACTTGTTAAAAAAGAACTTGAGTCATGAATTGGACTATAAGGAATGCTGTATGCTCATTGCATGCAGCTCTAGAGGACAACTCAAAAAAAAAAAAAAAGATGTGTTTTACGTGGGACTCTTTGAGATTAAATTTCCTGCATTCCACATTCTGTAAGTAAGAGTAAGAAAATACCTGGCACAGTTGAATAAGCAAACAGGAAGTCTGCCTCTACCGGAATCTTGTGTCTTGGATTGGCATCTGTCGTGTCATTGGGCGGTCCTGAGTCTGTTTGTACACCATCATCAAACTCTGAACCCCGACAAGCCTGCCAGTAAAAACACACGACCATGTCAATATCCACTTAAAATGCACTTCAAAAAAGGTAGGGTAACTCCGGGTGTGGTGCGACAGAAATAGCATTAAAACAATAGACACCGTTGTATGTAGGTGCTCCATTTTCTCCTCCATCACATCTTCCTCATCCTCCTCTCTCCTCCCCAAATCCTCCTGTGGCCCTGCTCCTCTTACCTGGATGAAAAAGAGCTTGGGCTTGCCCACGAGGCTCTTGCACATGTCTCCTTTGAAGAACGAGGTCATGCTCTTGATGGGCATTGCTCCGTCCGTGCCGTAAATCATGCCCTCCTCGCCGTGGCTCAGCAAGATGCAGGCGAAGCAGGAGCTGTCGCTGTGGTCCTCTTCTGAGACTGAAACACGCACAGACAAAATATGTGAGAGAAGAAAAAGAAAACTTTTTTCACACTTCCAATTTGAATTATCTTAGTTGTGGATAAAAACTGGGTTTGCAAACACTTTACACTTTTAATAACACGCAAGTAATTTAGGCCACTAACAGTAGAGGGTAGTAGAGAGACTTAAATAATATAAATGTGACCTTTGACAAAATCAAGTCAGCACAACTAAAAAACATAATTACACAAATCTACAAAAAATCTTGTTCTAAGATTAACTGCTTAATACCCAAGACCAAAAAAAAAAAGATATATATTGCAACAAGCTAAGTGAAAAAAAATCCAAGATTATACTGAACATTTACCATAATTCAATATTGAAAAGCATAGCTAAATACATTTTATTGGTGCCATTAAAATGATAATATTAGTCAATATTTGTGTATTTTCATGCTAATAATGTATGCTTGTGATGCAGTTAGCTGAGCAACACACTTAATGCCTTATACAAGTCGAGTCTTAAATAGACTGAAAGCGGTTATATTGCGTTAAAAAGCAGATGCCTATATAGTCAGTGGACATCTAGGTACTGTAGTTCACTTGTTGTTAGAACAGAACAACATTCAAAACAACATGTTATGATGCAACCTTCCAGAAATCAGGCAGCCTAACCACATTCCACAAAAGTTCCATGACATGTTTTTAGATTTTTTTTTTCTTTCTGGTTCTTACTGATATATGACACTCGCATGTTTTCATTTCATATGTTTCATAAAATTTCCCAGCAGAGTTATGTAAGCCTAATTTAAAAACTGGATGTGGCATTTTGATGATCTGGGGTATAGATACATATTTTGTCCACTCACCTTCTTTAAGTAGCCGCTCCATGTTCCTGCAGGTCTGGTCATCATAGATGAAAACTTCAAAGCCCAAGTTTTTAAAGCACTTGGACAGCTCTTCAGCATCGCGATCTGTGCCATTGCGTACATTCATCCCTTAAACACAGATCACAAAGTAAGCAGACAGAGCATCAACCTAGTAACTTTAAATGACTCAACATTCAAGTTCTATTTTTCATCAAACTTTTAACAGCAGTCACATTAGTGTCTATCCATAGTGACTATGGTGAATATAAGCCACAGATATACAGGTTTAATGTTGTTCTAAATATCTTTTTTGACCCTTCACTTTGGAATACTAATGCATTTTTATACGTTTTGTTGTTGTTTTTTTACTATTACATCATTATATAGATGAGTAAATCTGATTTATCCCGCATACAGATCATAATTTACACAAATTAATAGTCATTAAAACAATGTTTTCATTAAAAAAACGTTTATCTCAATGTAAATGACAGAAATATGGATATTCTTTTTTAACTATTTACCAATAATGAATTAGATCAAAACTATTAGGTAGAAGCTTATAAAAACAGTTGGGTCTATAATATATAACAAAACATTGTTTAATACTATTATTAATATTATTGCCCTAATAAACTACAAATAACAATAAATACAACTGTTTTTACTGGGTGTGCTAAATCAGTATTGATTGGTCAACATAGCATAACATGGAGATGAAGACTCACCTGTCTTTTCATCGAAGTTCTTGTTGTTGATGATGATGCACTTGCCAACGCGCTGGTGGCTCATCTTATACTGGAATGTTGGTGAAACAATCCTGTAATGGCTTTCAGAAGATTGCTCTTTTTCCTGCAACTTGCCATCCTTCTTCTTACTGAGAGACAGAGACAGACAGTCAACCAATCTATTACAAACCTTCATCCATCATGTACATCACCTAATATATATTTATAAGAACATAGTGTGTTCTAAGAGACAAAGTAATAAATAAGCTTATCTGTAAATTGAAGAACAATCAAACCTCAAAGAAAATACAACCCATGCCAGTCAGAGAATCGAAAAATAGCAGCTAACCGGGATATCCGGTGTCATGAAGACAATTAAATTCCCTTATTGATCATAATATTAGTTGCTCTAAAACTTCACGGTGTCCCAAACATAATATTCCACATGCCTGAGGGAAAATTCTCACAGACGTCTCATATCCCCATTGTGAAATAATCTGTCCAGATTAGTAGGCCACAGTGGCCACTGGATGTACAATATGTGCCAGTATTCCAGAAGAGCCTAGTCATCACGTTACCCAACCACAACAATGGGTTCCTGCCTATACACTCTCTCTCACACACATGAACAGTGGAGCGAATCACAGGTGTCCCATGTGATGAGGGGCAGCAAACCCCCCCCCCCCCCCCCCCCCCCCCCGCCCCCCCCCCCCCCCACACCCC